TATATATATATATATATATATATATATATATATATATTATTTTAATGATGTCATTGGTGGGCCGGAAATGGCCCATGGGCCGCCAGTTGAATAGCCCTGGTTTAAACATTCCATAGTTTAGCTAAAAACCTATTTACATTTAGAGCAAAGGACACAATAAGTTAATATTTAAACTGCACATATTATTGGAAAAAGTTTAAATGTGTGCCTCTCTTAACATTTTGAAGAAACTTTCAGTTAAACTCCCTTCATGCAGCTTTTCTGATTGTGTAGGTGTAAACCTTGTTGTCATTTCAGGGTTTCAGACGGTTTCTCAACAATCATCCGACTGTCCTGAGAGGAGCGTCCTTCACAACATAGAAAAACTGCAGAGAAGAAGACAGAGGACAAGGTAAACAGGATTGTTGCCATTGGGTCAGTTTTACTCAAAGGAGGGATTTTAATTCTTAAAATATTCAATCTAAGTTTAGTTTTAGTTTTATTGTTTTATATATTTGAGTTATAATTGTGTGTTTTTTTAGACGTGGTTTGTTAGGTCCAGGCTCCAGTGAAACACTGCTGGGCCCCAAAGACAGCCAGAGGGGCTCTGCTTCTTTACTGGATGCCAAAGAACTTCTGAAGCACTTCACATCTGACGGTTGTCCCACCGGAGATTTACAATCCCTGACTATCAACAGAGAGTAGGTTCAGATTGCAGATTGCATCTTCTCTGCTTCTTGTACGTTTTCCAGAATGAGCACCAGCTGTGGTGTTTAAATTAGCCTTCAGTGCTGCAGATTTTTCAGATTAACTTGGCACAGGCTCACTGAGGAACTGTAAACAACATGTGTGCAGATAGTATAGGTTCATCTATCTGAATGACAAACATTTAATTAGCCTATAATTATAATTTGATTATGAACACCTACAGCATGTGTTTGTTTAGAATAAAATTGTTTAGCTAAGGCAACAACAACAACAAAAAAACCAACATTCAGTAAATGTGAATACAAATTATTTTAACCATTTTTTTATGTTTGTTTTTGCCCATGTTGTTCAGGGAGGAATGGTTTTTCATCCTACTCGTGTTCTTTTTTCCTGTTTTGATGCCTGTCTCTTGTTTTCAGCAGAAATAACTTGTTCCAGTTGTCACCAGACCTCTCACCAAGGCGAATCAGCCAGATGCCCTTCAGAAAAGCCTTAGCCTCTCATTACCACGGCATAGAGTAAGTTCATCATCATCCTTTCAGCTGCCACTCAGACTCTTTTAACCACTAAGTGTGTTCTTCTAGGTTCTGTCTGGACAACGAGTCTTCCCTTGACCGGGATCAGGCTTTTGCATGGCTCCAGTCTCGTCTGATTCGCCATGAGACTCAAACTACCTGCTCCAAGGAGCCCTGTGCCCTGTCCTTTGCCCTCAGCCCCGCCCCCTCACCTGCTGTGACGTCCGAACCAGGAAGTGTGCCTGATGGAGACGCTCTTCAGAACAGTGATGTCGCTCCGCTCAAACGCAAGTCCTGGGAAACAGACGTAGGCTGCAGTTATCCTCGTAAGAGGTATCGTGGTTAATTTAGCTCCTTGGTCAGCAGGTTGTGGCATGATCAAGACTCAAATGGATCTTTGACGTAAAACAATTTTACATCCGTCTGATCAAGGTTGGTGAAGTCAGAGAGCAACGACTCTCTGTGTTCTCAAAGCAGCAGCAGCAGCGGTGCACGCTCCGACTTCAGGTCTCTCCGCCAACAGCCAATCAGATTCAAGTCCACCTCGTCCATTAGCACATCTTCAGCCACAGGACGGATATCAGGTGAAAAAGGTGAACCTTGTGATGTGACTCATGACCTCTTGTTTGTTAGCCACATTGGGAAGGTTACACATTTTCTACAACACAATGAAGCAAGTTTTGTTATTTGTTTGGCTTTTACTGACAATAAAACTGTAGTTTACTGACAAAAACATCTGCTCAGATGTTTCAAAACATCAAATAGAAATTTAATTCAACAGAATTTAAGTATTTCCTAGTGTACATTAGGTATAGCTGTATAGACTTGGTAAATTAGTATGTCTTTGAGGTAAGTTGTAATAAAATGCCTAAATATTTCATTTAAATATATTTCTTTGCTAAGTTGTCTGTTTTTACACAACTAACTCGTCCTTTGAGTTTAGGAACCTTTTATGCCCGCTTCAGAGGTCAGAATGATCTTGTTTAATAAACTATTCACCAGAAAATGGTCAGTTATGTGACTGAAAATCTGAGAAAAAGCAGCTAAACTTCAAATCAACAAACTTTGAAAGACCTTGAGGAATTCTGAAGAACTTCTAATTAAGACAATTTTAAAGGATTACAAAAAGGTCTGGCTTCTTATTCGTAAAATCTAAATAAATTAGGGATGACTTAAGACTTTCGCCCAGTTCTGTATGTTGATTATTGATAAAGTGAAAAATGCAATGAAAGCCAAAGAAAGAGAGAATCTTGAGAGAAGTGAGGCTGGATGAAGGTGATCAGAGTGATTTGAATCACTTGGTTTTAGATTTGCACTGGTGTGGCTGTAAGGCTTTAACTGTCCACTGTCCCGTCCTGACTCTGCAGGTTCGGTGTCTCTTCCATGTCCTGATGGGCCTAAACCCAAACAGCATACGACTCCTCAGGAACACACCGAGGACAAACCTGCTAAAGAGTCACGTTCCCAGAAACACAACAGAGTGAGTGTTGTGTGCACCCTGTGCGTTTTCATCAACAATTGTACAACTATTCTGTATATATGTATATTATTTATTTAAACACATTCATGCCCTAAAGGTAAATACATGCAATGTGGATTAAATGTAGCTTTTTAACAAATTAAGCTGTTTATCTTCCCAGTTTTTCAGGTTCATTTGTTTGTGCAAGTGCCGGTACTCTGCGACTCACACAGGAAGACTGAAGAGTGTGCGTCAGATTAAAAGTACTTATTCTACACGCTAAAGCAAATAAATAAAAGTATAGGTATGGAATTGATATCTTTACTTTTTATTTACAAATATTAAGTTAAAACTTGCCATTTAAAATCACTGATTATACAATAATTCACAAACTTATTTCATTTCTACTACCATTGTTTTATACAAGATGCATGTTGCAGGCAGATTACCCAAATCAAGCAAACGTAACTATTTTTAACAAATAAATCTACAATCAACCATAAAACTATATTCTAGTGAGAATGTACTAAAAAACCTGGTTATCTCAGCTTTTGTGTTGTTTTGTTAACTTTCTGAAAATGCATAATTTACAGTGTGTCCAGAAATTATTCACCAAGCTTCACTTTTGCCACATTTGTTGTCACAGCCTTATTCCAAACTGTATGAAATTAATCTGATTCCTCAAAATTCTACACGCAATACCCCACTCTGACGATGTGAAAAAAGATAGATTTTATTTATATAATGTATACATCTATATATGAGCATGCATCAGGATATATAATATATAATTTTTTTTTACAGGCTCAAAACCTGTATGTTTTTAAGAAATAACGGAAAAAAATGTCATAGAACCAAATAATAGAAAGCGAATAACGTAGAAGAAAATGCTCCATGAAACTGATGGACCCTTTCAGGAATTATTTATCTAAACCCATTAAACAATAAAAATATTTTCATAAAAAATTAGCATGTTTTAGACAATTTAAATTATTACTGGCCTATTACCTTTGGCTCTTCTTTTAGAAAAAGTACCACACTGTAAGTGTCACTGAGCTGATCAAAAATGTTTTGTTGTGCCTGAAAATTTACTCATAAAACATCTCTAATCTCATGTATCAAAAACTGATGCATAACCATACAAATCTTTAGATAATCAGGCAGACCTTAAGAAGTACAGTAGTCCCTCGTTTATCGCGGGGGATCTGTACCCTGAAGACCCGCGATAAGTGAAAAATCTGTGAAGTAGAAATATTAGTACAAGTAGTAAGCAGTAGTTTATATCTATTTTTTATTATATTTATAAACCCTTCCCACACTCTTGCAATATTCTAAACAATGTTTCTAAACTCTAAATGCTTTAAAAGAGCACAGGATGTCATGATTTCAGCTCCCTGCCTCCTCTGCTCTTTGCCACCTGCATGCGCTCTTGGCCACGCCCACTTCTCCGCTCTGCACGGTGAACAGCTGATCAGCTGCAGCAGGAAGTTTATCCTGCAGTATGGGCTGCACAAAGGTGAAGCAGGTGCTAAATAATTTAAAATAATTTATTTTAAATCAAAATTCCATGCCGATCATGCGGCTCATCCATCAATCAGCCAGTTGTGTGTCATGTCTAATCTTATTTTGAAAAACCGCGATAGAGCGAGTCTGCGATAAACGACCCGTGAAGTAGCGAGGGACTACTGTAATTCTTAATCTTGCTTTGATCACTTTTTTTTTAATGTTTTACAAATGGGTCTTATTAAGTTTAGCTTCTGATTTTCCTTTTCCTTTTGTGCATCTCTAAACACAATAGCTCTGTGACAGATGGACACAATAAAACTGGTCGTAAACTGACCCGGTCTGTCTGCTACAGCTGAGAGCCATGCACCTGTTCAAGCAGAACATTGTAATGCTGCACCACATCCAGTTTTTACCTTTAATTTCACCCACTGCCCCCACACACACACACACACACACAGTTTTTTCCTCTCATCTCACACACTCGGGTCTCTGCGTGGGTTCTCCTGTCCCTCACAGAGTGCCCCTTCTGCATCCCAACCTTGACTTGTTTTGATTTCTGCTTACTATGCAAACACACTTATCGTCCGAACCTGAGTGGAGGGAGGAACAGTTGGCCCCGTTCAGACATAATGACGGCACATTATTCAGGGTAGATTAAAAGCTCTCTGCTCCTCCTGAGACCGAATGGCACTGATGATTTCTCACAATAATTTATTGTTTCCTCAGAACCGTTGCCGTGACCAGATTAAAGGCAGATCTGTTCATTTCAGGAATGTGTTTTTTCTGTTTACACCACCAGTGAAATATTTCTATGTTTGTTACCTGCAAGCTCATGCTGTGAATGGAAAGTGTGAAACTTTCCACCCAAAGTAACAGCTTTTGACAATCATTCTTTTCTTTTTATGTATTTTTAAAGAAGAAAACTGTGATAAAATTAGTTTCCTTGAATGTGGTTTAGGAGCAAACTAAACTATAATAATAATAAAGTGTTATGTGTTGTCATCATTGTATGTTCCCATACAAAGACGAAACTGGCTCTCTACATTTAACCCATTGCACCAGGAACATAGCCAGGTGGAGCAGTGGGCAGCTATGTAAGCGCCAAGGGAGCAATTTGAGATTGGGTGTCCTCAGAGACACCAAGAGACCGGGGATCGAGCCCAGGACCTTCGGGTCCCGGGTTGGCTGCCCTGCCCCTACAGTTTATGTTCAAACAGTTGTACTAATACAAACGTGTGTATGTGTGTGTTTTCTGTCCTCAGATGCTGCAGGAAGTGGTAACTAAAGCCCTTAAACGTCATGGAATTTCAGTCGAACACGAGTGCTTTAAGGCCTGCAGCAAAAGACTGTTTGATATCTCCAAGTTCTATCTCAAGGTTGGTTTTGGTTGAGCTGAAGTGAAGTGAAGCACACAGTGTGTCGGACATCTCCCTCCTATCATTTACTATCATGACTTAACTCACTTTGCTACTGGTCAACTGTATATAGAAGATATAGAATTTAAAGATAAGAAATTGACAAATAAGTTGACTCGGAGAATTTTACAAAAGGAATTGTACCCTGGTCAGGTTAAACGGCAGTATATTCTTAAAGATTATAGATTAGATGTAATCTCTAAAATTAGAACAAAATATATTTCTTTTCCCCTTCCTCCAAAAGTAAAGGAAGTCCATTTTAAAATTCTAAACAGTATCTACCCAACTAATGCATTTTTAAAGATTAGATTTAAATTTGACACTGCTGGGTGCTCATTCTGCCACGATGAAGATGAAGTTCTGGATCATCTTTTCTTCCAGTGTTGTGTCACACAAGACTTTTGGAGCAGAATGTGGGGTTGGCTCCAGGACCAAGGAGTTGAACTGCCAGCTTTGAGTCTAACAATAATCAAATTTGGTATATATTTTCAAAACTCCAAAACAGAATTTTTAATCAATAATTTAGTTTTATTGGGGAAGTTTTTTGTTCATAAATGCAGATTTTTTAAAGTTAACCCAAATTTAAGTCATTGGAAAAATTTCCTATTTTGTTTTCGTGAGTCTTTAAATTTAGTTAAAAGTAAATCTGCCCAACAACTTTGTAGTTTGATTAACAACTTTGATTTGGCTTAAACCTCGGTGTTTGTTTCATTTTCATTCTTTGTTTATTTTGTTTTGTTGTTTGTTTGTTTTGGGTTTTTTTTTTTTGCTTTGAGTGCATGCAATTCAACCTGTGAAAACTGAGTTTTGTGCTGATGTTGTTGCCTTGGTTTGTTTGTAAACTGATGTTTCAAATAAAGTTTAAAAAAAAAAAAAAAAAAAACTTTGCTACTGGTACAAAGATGCTGTGTGTCATCATAAATATTCGCCCAGTAATAAATCTGTTTATTTTAAAGTTAGGGATGCACAATATTGAATTTTTGGCCGTTATACGATAAGCCGATATGTTAAAACTTATTTGGCAGATAACCGATACCAATATTTTTCCCTCTAGACCTACTTACAGAGACTACATAGTTTTCTCAGCTGTGGAATTAAAATATTACATTATTCTGCACGGTCTTTGTCAGTTTAACCTGCTACCAAATGCAGATGCCAAAAAGGAGCTGAAAATGATGCAACACTTCAACTTGGATTATGGTTAATGTCAAATTTATTCATGACGTGTAATCTCTCTAGCACAATGACAACACTCGAACAGTGCTTAGCTCTGCGTAGCATAGCATCGCTTCATGTAAATCACCATTTTCCTGTATGCTTATGGTGTGGAGAACTGCCTTTTAAAAAATGAGAGGACTTGAATTTACTGGATTTAAATTTAGCAGAAGCAAATTCTGCTCAAGTTTTTCAAAGTTAGCGAAAACGCTAATCTGCTAAATGGAAAGTTAGTTCCACTATTAGCAGATTAGCAGAACCGTGTCCACCACTGTCACTGATGTTTTTGAGTGTTGCTTTCTGCTGAGTTTTACATTGTTAGAGTTTCAGTCAAGGTCAACCCCCCATCCAGATTCAGTTTGTATCTTTTGTTTGACACCAGGATCTGAAGACATCTCGGGGTCTGCATGATGAGATGAAGAAGGCAGCCAGTAGCAACGTTAAACAGGTCATACCACCCCCACGTTTCCAGTTAAATGTATTTATTAATTAACATGTATTTCCAGTTTCCTTTAAACTCTACGTTTCTGGTGTAGGTCATTGAATGGGTGCTGGAGAAGACGTCAGGGGGAAGATGATCATGGAGAATGAGTGAACATTTCTCCTGTGTTTGCAGAGGATTTCAACCTCAATGAGAATCTTCCGTTATATTTGAACAGAGTTTTTAGCCTTTTTGATTGATTTTAAATTTGTTTTAATTAATTTAACCCTTGTTTTGATTTGCTATCCTCTCTTGAAGAGACTTTAGTAGTGACTCATCTTTTTGGTTCTGCACTCGGCCACACTCATGTAATTCAAATGTGAAAGTGTGAAAATGAAAACAATCTGAACTTGTTTTTTTGGGTGGGACTGTTTACCTGTTTGAAAAGTGATGAAAACAGTGGTTTAGGCGCTTCAGCAGACTTGAACTACTGCAAAGCCACATGTGTGAAATGCTAATAAACTATAACATTTACATACTTCTTGACTTAACACAATTTGTATCAATAATTCTCCATTTTCTACTAAATTTAAGATGTTAAGTTGGTTTATGGTTATAGATGAGGTTGTAACTGTCTTGTGGAAAAAGAGTCCATCTTTTTCACTTATAGGGTTTTATGTATTGGGATATAATAATAGTCAGTAAGGCTGCAGCAGCTTGGTGGTTAGTTCTGTGGTCTTGTAATCCTGAGGTTGTGGGTTCAAGCCCAGGTTGCATCAGGAAGGGCATCTGGTGTAAATCAAATGGCCAAATCTTTCATGTAAGTTTGCTCACTGTGGTGACCCCTGAAGAAGGAGCAGCTGAAAGAAACTTACTATTCAGTATCCCTGATGTCAACCATAACTTATTAAAGTATAAATTAATCAGTAACTAACGATCTGCTTGTAACAAACACAGTGTAGCAGCAACTCTAGTCATTTTATAACTAAAGACTTGGCACTGCTTGAAGGATTGTATTTTACTCACCACCATTCATGCTCGAGCATTAAACTAAAATCTTGTGCCAAAAAGGGATGGAGGTGTAGTTGTTTAGGTCAAACCACGTTATGCACGATTTCATACAATCTCAGAGAATGTTTTATAGATAATTCTACTTGTATCACACCAAATTTTAGATGAATTTGTGAAAAAAAGTGAGTTATAACAATTTTCATGTTGGTTAATGTTAACGAGCTGCAGCAGCCAATTGAATGGGGTTAATTCCAAAAGATATTTTGTAGCTTATGTACACCCAATGATTACTTTTGAGTTTCCTAAAAATCTGCCAAGTAGTACATGAGATATTTTGCAAACAGAAAGACGAGCGTACCTTCAAAAACACATAGCTGACTTTACTTATCTTACCCCAGGGATTAAAGTTCTCTGTCGCCACAATGGAGTTCTATAATTTTGAATGTGGCCAGGATGGATTTCTGTTGTCTGTAAAAATGATAACGGGGGGAAAAAAACAACAAAAAAATAGTATTTGCTGCGTTCAAGCCACCAAATCTAATTATGATTCGGGGAATAAACTGATGTTGCTTTCTAAGTAAAGCAAATAAGTTTTACTCATTAAGAGCAGGTGAAAACACCATTTATTTCAGAGTTCCTGTCGTGACACAGCAGCAGCGTAGCTATGAGCCCTTCTTCGTTTAAAAGAGCTCACAGGCGGTCAGGATCACAGAAAATGCCGCTGCAGTGAGAAACATTTACATTAACCTTTTTTTAATCAGGCAAATCCCATCGAGATCACAGATCTCTTTAGCAAGGGAGGCCTGGGCCTGAAGGCAGACTAATATGCATGTTTTTGGTCTGAGATAACTCCCGCACTGCTCCCCTGACCTCCCTAATACTCTTGTATTTAAAATCCAACTTGGAATTAAATGTTCATGTGTTTTGAGTGTCATTATCATACAGACATGTCCAACTTGTGCACGTGACCAAACTTCTGGTCCAAGAGAGAGTACTGCCTCAGCCTGTTGGTGTCTCTGTGAGACTATGGCTGTTTCTGCTGCTTTAGTTCTTATGGTTAAATAATATTAACACTAAAGGATGACTAGTAGTAGGCCCCAGATTATAACAAAGATGTGTGTCTCCATTTAACTTCCTTTCCTCAAAATCACAAAGTTATCCCTGTGAGAGTCCTTTTCAAGTGTTTACAGTTTATAATAAATAGCAAATTTCAGATAACAAGGTCTTTTGGCTGTTTGGATAGGGGCTAAGCTAGCTTTTGTTTGGAACCATACTGAGAACCATACTATTGTCATAAATGCATTCAACAAATGATAAAACATGAAAATTAAATGGTATTAAATAACTACATGAGATGAAACCCTGTAAATATATACTCCCTTTGAATGACATTGTCATTTTAAGTGGGAAATCTGTCTGGCCAATAAAATAATTTTAGGTTGATTTGTACTGTGTAAAGGACTTCCTGTGCTATATATTTTTTAAATGTCAGACAACCCCACAACTGAAAAAGCTGAAATGCCATAAAAGTAAACAGACAAGTTATTAACCCCTCTCTTCAGAACGCCGTTGGTCTTGATCTAAATTGTGCAGGTTAAAGTCTAACAACGTCAGCACTTCATTAGAACATTAAACTGCGTACTGTCTCGTGGTGCGTTCACTGTACTCCTCTGTTTACACGATAAACTGGGAAGTGACCTCTACGCAGGATCGAGCTCTCAAATGTGTGGCATTGGGTGTGGTGGGGGACAGGGGAGGGGGTCGTTGCTAGGTGTACAAAAACTTTCAGTCAAAAATACTTTTATTTGCTTTAATCCCTGTTAATCTCATCTACAGAAGTCTTATTTAGTGGTTATGAAATTTGTGAAATCAAAAGTGGAACTGTAAAAAGCTGAAAGCTTAAAGAAAAATCCCCTGAGAAAAGGACCGACAGAGCTCTAACTGTACAGTTTGGAGAAGAAGAATAAAGGAAAACGACAACGTCTCTCCCGCAGCTGATGTGTTGTTCTTGGTACGTTTTTTTTTTATTTTTGCTACACATCACCAAACGCTGCACGAGACACCAGGAAAGCACAGAGCCATTCACGTGAAATTATAACCTTGGCTGCTGTGACCAGTTTGGAAAAGAAGCGTCCATCCATTATCTTTACCCACTTCTTCCTTTTCGGGTCGTGGGGGTCACTGGTGCCCATGTCCTGCGATCACTTTTGTGCCAAAACTCTATCTAATGAAGCAGACAAACCATCATTACCAGGTTCTGTCACACAACTGAAAGACATTTAAACTCCATTCATCCATTATCTTTACCCGCTTATTCCATTTTGGGTCACGGGGGTCGCTGGTGCCCATGTCCAGCAATCACTGTGCGAGGGGCGGGGTACACCCTGGACGGGTCTCAAGTCCATCACAGGGACACATAGAGACAAACGAGACAAACAACCATTCACTCTCTCATTCACACCTAGGGACAATTTAGAGTTACCAATCAGCCTAACATGCATGTTTTTGTCTGTGGGAGGAAACCGGAGTACCCGGAGGAAACCGGAGTACCCGGAGAAAACCCACGCATGCACGTAGAGAACATGCAAACTCCACCCAGAAAGGCCCCTGGACCGGGGTTTGAACCAAGGACCTGCTCGCTGAGAGGCAGCAGCTCTACCAGTTGCGCCACCGTGCTGCCCACATTTAAACTCTTCATTACTTAAAGAAAACTTTTTTTATGCATTCAGCATTTGGTAACTCACAATAAGGTGCTCTGCTTTCTAGATGAGTTAAGTGACTGTTGGAGTCTTTACGTGTTCATTTCAGCTGTTCAGATGGCTTCTGATGCAAGCTTCTTCTGATCGAAACATAAAGGTTCAGCTGCTGTCTGACACGGTTTTTAACTGTTACAATAAATCCTTCCAGAGTTTTATTCTAAGATCATTCAATGCAGAGAAATGACGAGTTGTAACCGTTTTGGTGAAACCTTGAAAATAATGCACAACCACATGCAATATCTTAAGATGTCACAGTATGACTCTCAGCTGCTACCACATCAAAGTTTAGCTCTAAATCTATAAAACTGACAGTTACAGCCACTTTTGTGTTGGCTGATGAAGAATAGCTGTGACGCTCATCTTGAAATGGGTTGACTCCAAATTTTAATCAGTTGTAGACATTTTAAAACAGAATTTCAAACAATTAAAAACGGTTAATTATAGCATACTATGTCCCTAGTTACCCAGGTCCCAGGAGAAAGTTGGTAGTCTGCTCGTATCCGAGGCCAAACAGGAGAGTCAGATTCAGATAAACCACAAGTGTTGGTTTTTCTTCAGGCAGATTCTCAGTCTCGAGTCCTGCTGGAACTTTCCCAGTCCAAAATGGCCAAATGTATGGGAATCCACTCCACTGATCCACGTTATGAGCCGCCTTCAAGGTCGATCCTAACATGCTGTCGAGCCCTAAAGCCGGAGGTGGCCTGCGATTCTCACAAATCGCCTCCATCTTACGGTTTAGCTCGTTAACCAGCTTATTTTGAGTACTCATAACACAACCCATACACAGACTTGGAAGCTTTGTCATGGCCGAAACTGCTGCCGAGGTCTTCTTCAAGTTGATAAAACAGCCCTGCTGATGCCAAAGAGCAGAACCCCTGCTATCATAAATCTAAATATATAAACGTCGTCATCGTCCTCCTGAGACAGAACTGAAAGGCGCATCAGCTGATCTCTGACGTACCCCGCAGCATTAGTCTCAGCCGGACAAGAGGGTTCTCCAGGCCCATGTCGTTTTCTTGAAAAGATTTTGTAGATTTCGTTGAAAGTCCAGCTTATCAGATCCATAATAGTATTTTTCGTTCGGGAGATGTGTACCAGGAGCTCTGAGACATACAGAGAGCAAAGCAGGAGTATGAGGAGAGCAGGAGCAACCGTCTTGAGCGAGAGTCAGATTAAAACAAAAAAAGGAATATATTCACTTATTATTTATTGAAAATTTCATTAAAACTTGTCTAGATGTTCATGAGATATTTTGCTAACAGACACGCAGACACAAGCAAAACCATTACAGTCCACCTTGGTTTTTGATGGTGTGTGATGATGTATTTATTGTTTGCGTTTCCTGTAGGTACATTCAGGGAACTACACTGTATATGGACCTGGCAGC